TTGCAAGAAGATTGCACAGACTGATTACAAGCAGCGGCATGACAAAGTAGCAACAATGGTGCATTGGAAGATCTGCAAAAAATATCATTTGCCTGTAAGCAAAAACTGGTGGGATCATAAAATAGAGAAAGTCATAGAAAATGATAAAATTAAACTGCTCTGGGACTTCAGAATTCAAACAGACAAGCACCTGCAACATAACACCCCAGACTTAACAATTGTCGATAAGAAAGACAAAAAAGTCTGGATAGTGGACGTGGCAGTGCCTGGAGATAGCAGAATAGAAGAGAAAGAACTGGAGAAGATAACAAAATACAAAGACCTACAAATAGAAATAGAAAGACTGTGGCAAAAGCAAGCAAGGGTAGTACCAATAGTCATAGGCTCCTTGGGTGCAATCCCAAAACAACTGGAGCACCACTTGAACACCATTGGCATTGACAAATTCGCTATTAGTCAATTGCAAAAGGCGGCCTTACTAGGAACTGCTTCCATCCTGCGACGATATCTGTAATACCATCAAACATCCACATCTGCCTATCCCAGGTCCTGGGTAAGACTCGATAGGTAGACAAAATGCCAAATCCAGTCTGAACATCTGGCTGACTTGCGATGATCGATAATAATAATAATAACAATAATAATAACTGCTTCCATCCTGCGACGATATCTGTAATACCATCAAACATCCACATCTGCCTATCCCAGGTCCTGGGTAAGGACTCGATAGGTAGACAAAATGCCAAATCCAGTCTGAACATCTGGCTGACTGTGCGATGATCAATAATAATAATAATAATATTTATTTATTTATTTTTAAAATTTATAAGCCGCCCCACTCCCGAAGTACTCTGGGCGGCTAACAATAAAAAACACATAAAACATAACAAACAAACAGTACAAAGACAGTCATCCAGGGGTCAGGTTTTATAAACCCCAGGCCTGCCGGAAAAGCCAGATCTTAAGTAGCTTACGGAAGACCAACAGGGTGGGAGCGGTCCTAATCTCCGGGGGGAGCTGGTTCCAAAGCGTGGGCACCATCACAGAGAAGGCCCTCCTCCGCGGCCCTGCCAAATGGCACTGCTTCGCCGACGGGGCCTGAAGGAGCCCAGCCTGTGGGATCTAACCGGACGTAGGGAACTATGAGGTAGTAGGCAGTCTCGCAAATAGCCTGGCCCTGAGCCATATAGGGCTTTAAAGATAATGACCAACACCTTGAATTGGACCCAGAGACCAAGAGGCAACCAGTGCAGCTCACGGAGGATAGGTGTAACGTGGGTGTATCGAGGAGCACCCACTATCACTCGCGCGGCTGCATTCTGGACCAACTGTAGTCTCCAAATACTTTTCAAGGGTAGCCCCATGTAGAGCGCATTACAGTAGTCCAGATGTGAGGTGACAAGGGCGTGAGTGACTGTAAGGAGAGCCTCCCGGTCCAGGTAGGGTCGCAACTGGTGCAACAGGCAAACTTGTGCAAAGGTCCTCCCCACCACTAATAATAATAATAATAATAATAAAGTTGGAAGGGACCTTGGAGGTCATCTAGTCCAACTCCCTGCTCAGGTAGGAAACCCTATACCATTTTGGACAAATGGCTGTCCAGTTTCTTCTTAAAAACTTCCAATGTTGGAGCATTCACCGCTTCTGGAGGCAGGTTGTTCCACTGGTTAATTGTTCTAACTGTCAGGAAGTTTCTCCTTAGTTCTAGGTTGCTTCTCTCTTTGGTTAGTTTCCACCCGTTGTTTCTTGTCCTGCCTTCAGGCACTTTGGAAAATAGCTTGACTCCCTTTTCTTTGTGGCAGCCCCTGAGATATTGGAACACAGCTATCATGTCCCCCCTCATCCTTCTCTTCGTTAAACTAGACATACCCAATTCCAGCAACCATTCCTTATATGTTTTAGCCTCCAGTCCCCTAATCATCTTTGTTGCTCTTTTATGTACTCTTTCTAGAGGCTCAACATCTTTTTTACATCATGGTGACCAAAACTGGATGCAGTATTCCAGGCCTTACCAAGGAATTTTAAAGTGGTATTAATACTTTATGTGATCTTGATTCTATCCCTCTGTTAATGTAGCCTAGCACTGTGTTGGCTTTTATGGCAGCTGCAGCACACTGCTGGCTCATATTTAAGTGATTGTTTACTAGGACTCCGAGATACCTCTCACAGTTACTACTATTGAGCAAGATACCCCCTATACTATACCTACACATTTGGTTTTTCTTGCCTAAATGTAGAACCTTACTTTTTTCACCATTGAATTTCATTTGGTTGTTTGGGAAGTTAGTTCCTCTATTTGTCCAACCAGGGACAAGAACCTATGTAAGCTATGCATGGATGACTGACAGCAGCCTATAAGATAGGCTATGTGGAAATGCTATGTGGAAGAGAACAGTAGCCTTGCTAACATTCTGGAATTTCAACTTCAAGGCTTAAATAGACAGCTTCATTATCTTAGTTAAACCTCTATATCAAATGATATTTTTCCACGGTCCTGGTGCTGACTCCCACAAGATTATTTTAATAGGTTATTTTAATCTCCTTCCAAAGACATCAGCTTTTCCCAGCCTTCATTGATAGGATGTCTGTCTACACTTGATATTTCAGGCAAGAACATTGTCACTTGTTTTCCTTCTGGGAATAAAGTTGTTGTGAGTGGACATATTAGTCAGTGAAGGGAATAGGCTGATGGCATCCACTGAACAGGCTGCCAAAGCATTTTCTTATAGGTAACTTTCATTTAATCAACAACTGTGGTTGAAAACCAAAAAGCTAACCTGGAACATGCAATGAGTAGGGAACTAAGGAAATAGTTATTGTGCACCTGGGATCTTGAGTAGATCTAGTCCATCTCTCCTAATAAAGAACCTTTTCCTGGAATCACAGGAACTCTTGGCTGAGGGCACATAAGGAGACATCTCGCTTTCTCTGGGGGCTAGTTTTGTCCTACTTGCATACTTGATTCATTTGTCACATGAACTCTTAAGTGGGATCCACAGAGCATCTGCTTTATGGTATCAGGGAGAGGGTTACCATGGGTAACCAATCCTTTAAGTAGCTCATCATTCCTGTGGCAGCTCAGTATGACAAGAGTCACTGAGGAGAGAAAACAGGTGGAGTGTTGCACTTTGAAAAGATTCTGGTTCCACCTTCAGGGACATCAAGAATTCCATTCATGTTCTGTGGGGAATCAAAACCCTTTGGAGAGAACTGACCAATATTGCGGAAAAAAGCTTTGTATGACACTTCTTACTGTTTCTACAAGGCTGAAGAGTCAGTGTAAAAATAGGGTAGACTTTAGAGCAACCCTATCACTCTTCAGTCCTCTTGAAGTCAATCTGGAATAAGGTTAGCATATCTGCAATGTAAACATCCAAATGACCATTAGAAGAAACCAAAAGAGAAACATTTCTTTTTCTCTTTGCTGCCATCTAATGTTAATCCAGACTTTTCAACCTAGATGTGGTAGTCATATTATGAAAGGTTTTTCATAACTGATGTGGGTTTTATTGATTTCAGCTGCAGTGAAAAGTTCAGCAAATCAATCTGCTGATCATCGAAACAGTGGAATTTAATTCAGTTTAGCTTTTAAATGATTTCAGTCCATACTTCTTGAATTGTGAGTTAGGTTGTCCTACTAGACATTAAGGTATACCCCATAATTTGGTTAGCCATTCTTCCATAAGGAATAAAAAAAATCTTTTCCAATAAAAACATAATAAAAACCCTTGCAGGTTCAGTATAGAGATTTTTATTTTAATAATTTTATTAGAGATTACCATTAAAAAGAATAAAACTATACCAATCACAAAAATATAAAGAAAAACAAGAAAAAGATCTAATTTCCTCTCCTTGTCCCAATAAGTACACACAATTTAAGTTAATTTATTGCTATATCTTAAGATGTAACATATCCATGTTTTACTTCATATTTCAGGTCATTTATTTATTTGTTTGTTTGCCAAATTTATTTGCCTCAGTTCAAGGCAACTTTCTTAGCTAGAAACAAAATCCAAAATCCTTGTCATTTATTGTCCCCAAAGTGCCTTTTTCAAAAAGGTAAATGGACTTTCTTCGGTTATTTTTTTTCCCTTGAAAATGTTTCACTTCTCATCCAAGAAGCTTCTTCAGTTCATGGAATAGAAGATTTCAGCTTATTGGATGAGAAATAAAATGTTTTCAAAGGAAAAAAACAAACAAGAAAGTCCAGTTACCTTTTTTTTTAAAAAAAAAAAAAGCACTTTTGGGACTACCATGACCTGGTTGATTGAGAATCTCCATAGACATTGGTCATTTATTCCTTATCAGCAAAAGTCTAATAAAGGTTGTCAGATATAACAGATTGTCTGTCTTAACCTTGATTGACTAAGCTAACCTTGTATTCCTTCCCTATATTTTTAATAATCATAATCTTCAAATAATTGCTATTTGCTTTCTACTTATCTTATATTACCTCACCATTCAACAAGCAGCAAAGAGATTCCCCCCCCCAATAAATCTAGAACAATCACCAGATACAAAAGAGCAGTTCCTACTTTAACTTCAGTTTGTGAGGTGCAAATAATGCCTTTTGAAAAAGAGGCCACATCTCCTAAATGGAGACATTATTAAAAGGGGGGAAACTGCTTTTTATATTAGAGTCCATCTCCTAATTGGCTATTATCTGTCTAAAAATTTCCACAGGTAACCCTGAGAATCTCTAGTGCTGAATCTGAGAAAAAAGTACTTTGGATGAACTGGGCAGACTGATAGATGGAGAAAAGATTGTTTTGTCACTCCATTTTGTTTGGCCATGAGACAAGGTGGGGGAGTTGTCAGGAAAAATAGACATTACCTAGTTGGATAATGAAATGTCTGCAAGCAAGCAGTTAAGCCCCAAGAAGCCAAATACTTCACAAAATAAATGATGCTGAACTGTGTATAAATCAGTTTAATCTATTCCATGCCAAGGAAACTACTTGAGCCCATGAAGTGTGGCGTCCGGCTGTCCCTTCTTTTGATTTTCCTTGCATACAGTATCCTGTTGTTTGGACCTGTGTACATTCCAATGGGTTGCACCCAGAATTCTATTCACAGGGTAATCCCATTGGAAAGAAGGTGATTTGCATCATTTCTCCTTTTTTCCTTGTACCTCCTGAGAAGCTGCTTTGTAAAAACTGATGGACCCTTCAGAGCACTGTGGAAGACAAAATTGGGAGGGGTTATACGGGGAGACTGAACTGGTAAAACCAAATTCCTTTTTTTTTCCTTAGTAGGAGTCTCTGCCAAATGTACTGCTTTCTAAGTCAGTTCTATAAGGGAACAGATATTTTGATAACATTATATTGTTTTTGTATATTGCCTTATAATTTTATACAAATAATACAGCTATAGAAAACAAAATCAAATCTCCATTCCATGGAGTGTGTAGGGCAGTGGTGGTGAACCTATGGCACGCATGCCAGAGGTGGCACTCAAAGCCCTCTCTGTGGGCATGTGCACTGTTGCCCCAGCCCCACCTCCCCCTGTGGCCCCCTCCTCCTCAGCAGCCCCCCTGGAGGAGAGTTGCCCCCAAGTGCAGTCCACGCAGAGCAGCACAGCCAAGGGCATGGCAGCCAGGCAGTGGGGACAAGACTGCCCTCACACCCTGTCACACGCAGATGATGCTGCGGGGCATGGGTGCGAGGGCATGATACAATTAAAAATAGCACAGTACAAAGATACTACAAAATAATTGTCTGGAAAAAGAACACCAACATCCCTAAAACAAACATATCAAAAGGGATCCATCAGCCACTCAAGTCCAAGGCCAATTATTCCAGTCAAGAAGTTCATTAATTTCCCCCTCCCCCAACTACCAAAATAAGAAAATTTATATAATCTGAAGGGAAAAACTTTTGGATTGGGTCAGATATAGTATCAAGTGCTAACCATTCCTTGGGCTGCCACAAAACAATGCTGGCTTAAAATGTGATGCCCCCACTGCTAATGCCTATTCTGCCTCCATTCGTATAAGTAATTGCTGAATGATGGTCTAATTTGTGCCTCATAAGAAGCAGGGGGATTGGTTTGCTCCTCCCTTTTTGCTCTCCATGAAACTTAACACATATAATACCAGAAAGAGAGGAACACACCCCACAGTCAGGGCATTGAAGTCAGAACGGTGATGGACCTCACTTTGGGATTTTATCCATCTTGTGTAGTTAGCTTATCTGTGGCCCTTTGGAGCATTTAATAAATTAAAATAACGTGAAACAGACAAAGACATCGGAATGTGCCTGAGCCAAAATAACCCCAGAAAGGAAGACAGTGGTTGTGTAATTGGTAAATTCCTGTGGAGCCTTATGAGGAACCGTTCCTGTTAAGTCCTTTGATCGTGGGCGAATGATGAAGACTCATTGTGTAGTTAACAGCTCTTTATTCGTTTAACAGCAACACTCCAACAACGCAAATGGCACACAGGCCTCTCTTTATCTGCCCAGAGACCCGGACACAATGGCAACAAGTAGCGGAGCGTTTTCGCGCCCTGCACATGCGCGCAAGGCTGGTGCTACTGAGTCTGGTCCCAGGCAGCTTTTGGAATGCCCGGGACCAATGCAACCTCCCAAGCCTGCTTTTGCAGGCTCAGGACACAACAATTCCCTTATTTCTAATATAGGTAAACGAGCAAATAAACACAAGCCCCCTCAACTCCACCATGCTTCTGTCTCAAATGGAAGAGTGAGGTTTTTTTCTCTTCTACCTTGTTGGTAAAGTGAAGAGAAGTTGATGTCAAAAACACCTGAAGGTGGGAAGTGGCACCTAAAGAGATGAAAAGCATGTAAGTGTTTGTGTGTGGGTATGGGTGTGGGTGTGCCAATGGAGAGGGCAAATGCTGAAAGAGAAATAAGTCTAGCCAGTGATCAGAATGGAGGGGCATGCCTGCAACTCCTAATCCTCCCAAAATGTACCTCTGATCACATCCTCTGCTTTTTACCAGACTTTGAATTCACAGTAATTGATGGCTAAGTTCTAATAGATTTTGCATTTGTTGAATAACGTTGAATAACGTTGTAATAAGAAGCTGTATTTACCAATAGTGATGACTGAAGCCTATCTCATTCATGGTCTGGGGATGAAACAAGGGCAATAGCAAGGGCTGAGGAGGGCAAGTACCTTAGGAGTTGTCAGGGTATGATTATGTTGTGGTTGAAATGGGGACCCGATGCATGAATAAAGTCAAGCTATTGAGAAGCCATTCTTGAGAGTGATTGATTACATTAAGCTGACAAGCCTCTCCAAAGGAGATCCTTCTCCCTTTTTTCAAACTAGGAAATGTTTACATTTGGGCAGTTCCTATAAATATATTCTCAACCACAGGCAGTAATATGAAAAGGCTGATCCAATTTCACAGAAAGTAGCAAAGGGATGAAATTTAATATATTCAGCTGGGAAGGGCTGAGTATAAATAACATGTTTTGCATGAAATTATCCATTTGCTTTGTAGCTTTAAATCTGTCCATATTTTACAACAGAAACTCACTTATGCCTATGGCTCCTTGGAATTTTCTTCTCCTTTCTTCTCTGACTAGTCTCTATTTCTCATGAGTTTGCTATTGTATAAATCCCCAAGAGAACCTTAAGCCTTGAAATGAATTATAAACAAGAAGGAGCACAAGGACATCCTCAGAAAATAGCTGATAGCAAAATCCTTTCTAACCTCCAAATTATATTTCTTATATACTAAGATTCTGTGCTATAAATACATGACTTCTTTCAGGGATTGATGCAATTGTAAAGGACCCAAGCCTAGGTCCCTATGAATAGGATTGTTCTTAAATTCAGAGGTGTCCATGGCTCTCTGTGTGTGTTTGTGTGTAAAAAAAATCAAGCTAACAGTTGTGATCAATCAAAGCCATGTCCTTTTATTAGGGCCAACTTTTTTTGACACCATACCCTCTCATATGTATGCCCTGGTTAAGTCTATTTCTGGTTCCTTTTATTTTCTAGCGTCTTTACTCACAGTCTTTTCTAGCCTCTTTTCACATCAAATTGCCAAATTTTTAAAATCCACATTAAAAAAAATATGTATTTTGGACATATATGCTCCAAAAATACTTCCTTAATTGTGTATTAGATGCTTTTTTGCATAGAGAACTGTGGCAGAACATTTGAGACACAAAAGCCAGTAGATCACTAAGTGTGATCCTCACATTAATTCTGGAAGTACAAAATCAGACTAGGCTGCACTGGAACTGACTAAGCTGAGATCCCTCAAATTTCCTTTTCACTGCCTGAGGCAAGGGATTCTGATTACCTGCTACTTAATACCTTTTTCAAAACTGGAGATTCTCAGGCTGAGCATTCTGCCTGCAAAGCGTTCTGGGACCTGATCATGTCAACAGCTTAATGGTTGCCTCTTCCTGGCATGCAAAGTACTTTCGATAACAAGTTAACATGGACTTTAATAAGATTACTTTACAAAGTCATCTTCTATTCTCTGCCAAAGACCATAAACTTGATCTTATGAAAGTTTTGTATTTAAACAGACTTTGATACAAAGTCCATGTTTTTTATTAGGAGCATGTACTGTAGATATGATACATAGGTTTGTACCAATTTTGGGGGGCATATTGTTTTCATAAACTTTTCTTTAAACTGCACGTAGTTTTCTTGAATCTATGAACTTTGTCCATGAGAACAATTAACCAGTGGAACTACCTGCCTCCAGAAGTGGTGGGTGCTCCATCACTGGAGGATTTTAAGAAGAGATTGGACAGTCATTTGTCCGGAAACATACCAGGCCTCCTGCTTAAGCTGGAGATTGGACTAGAAGACCTCCAAGGTTCCTTCCAAATTCTGTTATTCTGTAATTCTGTAATCCTGTAGTTTTAAACTATTGTAATTTCCGGTGTATAAGACGACTCAGCGTATAAGACGACCCCCGACTTCGGCACCGATTTCCGCGTTTTAGAAAGTCGTCTTATACGCCAGAAAATACGGTATATGATTAATTTATACTTAACCTAAACTTGGTAGACATACTTCTAAAACAACAAAGAGAACTTCTTAGTTCCTAATGGAAGACACCTACTGTTACAACTAGATTTTAAAAGTTGGGATAGGTTTGAATATAAGGACCCTGAGATTAGATTCATTTGGAGGAATTCCACTTATGTACTTTGTTTTGTCTCAGACGTTGCATGAGTTAGCATCCTATCTAAAAACGTCTTACACTATTGGACTGTAAATCATATTTAACAGAAAATAATAATAATAATAATAATAATAATAATAATAATAATAATAATAATAATAATAATAATAAAGTTGAAGGGGAGCTTGGAGGTCATCTAGTCCAACCCCCTGCTCAGGTAGGAAACCCTATACCATTTCAGACAAATGGCTGTCCAGTCTCTTCTTAAAAACTTCCAGTGTTGTACAAATAGTCCTTGAGTTACACAAATTTCCATTGTTAAGTGAGACATTTGTTAAGAGAATTTTGCTCCATTTTATGACTTTTCTTGCCACAATTGTTAAGTGGCAACTAAAGTTAATTGCCCAAGTATTCTTATTTTCTGTAATGGACATTGAATTTTGTTGGTACTATATCTGTATCTGAACTTATTTCTATGTCTCATATATTTTGCATGGTAATAGCAGTAGAGTTAATTTATTGAAACAAAAGTTGAATAACAAACTCTTCATATGTCAGAGAACCAGTCCAATATTTTGATATTCTAGAGTATATAATCATGCTGAATTCGAGGTCAATGACCCTTACTATCTCGCTCCCTGCTTCCTTTCTTGAAGATAACATCTGCTAAATTAGGATGTTATAAATGTTCTGTCACTAAGCAATGTTCTTAATCCCAGTGTATGCAAAAGTCAGCAACCACAATGACTGTATTCTGTTTCACAACTGTAAAAAAACAAGTGAGGTCAATAACTGCCAGACCTTGTATTAAAGGTAGAAATGTTTATATTGTGGCTAAAAAGAATCTGTCAAATATATCAATAACAAACCACAATGTTCCAAAACAGAGAGCATATTTTCTCATTTTTCTTTTGCTAGTTATTCTTTGTAAGTGCACTCAAAGTATATGAGGAGAAAGAACATGTGGTAGTTATTTAGTTATTTAACCCCTTCTGTGAATTATGCATGCAGAAAAACTCTGCTTTGCTCTGATTGCCCAAAGTGTCTAGAAAGATAAGATAAAGATTTAACCTTTTTAAAAAACAAATCTCACAAAATTCATTTGAGTATGTCCAATCCTTGCTCGTCCTTGAGCTAGTTTGCTTGCAGATGTTTCATTATGCAACTAGGTAACATCATCATCATCACACTGATGATATTACCTAGTTGGGTAATGAAATGACTGCAAGGAAACAGTTAAGCTCAGATAGCACCAAGGAAGCACCAAGGACTCCATAATTCAATCCTGAGTTACAGACATTTTTTTTCTATTGCCTCCTGAATATATTAGTGGGATGGATTGAAAGTGGAGGAATTCTTTTCTTTACCCAGAATTTTTCCCAATGTTTTCAACATTATCTAAGGCCCTAACAGTTTCCAGAGCATCCAGCACGTGGACAATAATTAATTATTATTGATCAGTGGATGTGTAGTTTAATAAGTTCTGAATTCCTGCTGAAGGCTGGAACTGTTTTGTGATCAGTTCATTTAACTTCCTAAATAGATTTGGCTGCCAAAAGGCCCAAGGCTTTGTAGAGAATTCTTAATTTTCACCTAGAGTATTGTTGAACTAAATTTTTCCTTAGCATAAAATCTGATGTATTTTAAAATAAGCCAAACACTTCCTTAAGGCTAAACATTTAAAGAGGTTAAAAGCTTAAGAGAAACTAGTTTGAATATTCTATTAATGTACCATAAATATCTAAGGAATCCAACTGCCTCCAAAATTGTGCACTTTAGGGGGAAAACAGATAATTGCAGTTTCTTCATAGTTCAGCAAGCAGAATCAGCAAGCACTGATTATTTTATTGTCTTGTTTTTGTATAATTTATATAGCTGGAAATGAATGGTATTTGTGTATGTGTGATACATATGTAGAAAAAGTGTGTGAGAGAAATAACAATATGAAATAAGCACATCCTTTAAAAGACAGTTTTTATGTGTTACTTGTTTGCTTAAATGCTATAAGAGGCAATGAAGTACTGTAAATGTTGTCCTATGCACCCTGGACATAAGGATCTGCCTATATCGATAGAAAGAAAAACAAACAGAGCTGGGGGCTGGTATTAAATGTATCATCAACTCAGAATCCTTACATTGCCAAAAACAATCCAAATCCAGCTCACCCTGAATTCCGTTGCCCCTTATCTAGCACCAATTCAGATTTGAACTTTAGTTGACTAGATTCTTGTGTATAGGCTTGAACAATAAATCCTCTGTGCTGCAAATTAACATATGGTCCTGATTCTTTGCACCTAACAGTATCTGCATTAGGAAGTTATTGGCGACTTTAATCCATCCAGCAAGGGACTATATTCCTATAACACTTTATTGGCATAGATTGGTTCAGCATTCCCTTCCCTTCAGTTGCATTTGCAGACAAAGTGTCTAAATCTGCAAAATAGCAGGAATAGCATAATGTCTGAAGCCCCATTCCTTTTGACAGGCATAAAATGTTAACACATGTATCAAAAAGCAATACCACACCCCCATCTTGCAGAGGTTGACATCTCACACATGCACTGCCAATGCTGCTGCTTCCTTCTTTACCCCAGAAAAGTTCAGATCCTCTTCCTGGGTCTCTTTACTCTCTTTCCCAACCCAAGAGTGCTAGCAACATATATCCATGTTCAGAGCTATTTGAAAAAGTGTTATCTTGTAAAGTTTATTTATTTTTAATTTAGAAAATTTATATTGCTGCCTACTCGCACATAGCGACCCAAGGCGGCTTACACGGATATAAAAACACCATGTAAAAAGAATAAAAAATAACAAGAAGAAAAATAATAAAATAATAACCTCCCCATCCCTCAGCCCCCACTCCAGCGACAACACACATTCAAATTAGCCATTTAATAGGCTCCATCCCACTCTGAGTTCCCCAGGCCTCCTTCTGAAACAGTATTAGAGTGAGGGGCCAGTCTAATCTCTGAGGGAATGATATTCTAGAGAGAGAGGGAGCCACCACAGAGAAGGCCCTTCTTCTGGGTCCCACCAGATGTATCTCCTTAGGAGATGGGACCTGCAATATTCCTTGCCTCCCCACTCTAGTGGGTTGGGTAGATGTGATCAGTAAGAGATGGTCCCTCTTGCTGATCATTCCATCTTCACAATTCACAGGGGCCTCTATTTTCAAAACCATCTCCCCATCATTTCCCTCACCCCTCTTTCTTTTTCACAAACTACTGACTGCTGTGCATGAATATAGATCCTGGAAAATACAGTGAATGTTGGAGAACAGTGGGCAGTTAGCTCATCATTTCATTTCCTTCTTTTGTGCAGTGGGAATGGGAGGTTCTTCCTAGACCAGTGATGGCGAACCTTTTAGAGACCGAGTGCCCAAACTGCAACCCAAAACCCACTTATGTATCATCGGGTGCCGGGTGGGCGTGGCTCATTGGGTGGGCATGGCTGTAATGGTAACAGCAGACTGAGTGGGACTAAAAAGTTAAATCAATCAATTCCAACTTTGCGAGATCTTTTTTTTCCCGCGAGAAGTTGAAATTGACTGATTGAACCTTTTTTTTTTGCACATGGCGGTAGAGAAAAGATTTTATAAAACCCAGCTAAAGGCCTAGGACGGGGGCAATGGCACACGTGCCCACAGAGAGGGCTCTGTGTGTCACCTGTGGCATGCATACCATAGGTTCGCCACCGTGGTCCTAGACCGATAGCAGCACTGAGGTCTGCAGAAATGAGCATGGGTCCAAGTCAGTTTGTTACAGACTGCTGGTCTGGAGGTGGCTTTATCATTTTTTTTTCTCCAGCTGTTCCCGGATTTTGAACTATCACTCTTTCCATCCTAAGCATATCTTTTTCTTGTTTTTTTTTTGTTGCACTTGTATTTTGGTCTGTGACCGCAAAATAAAAAATTATTATTATTATTAAGGCCATCCTAAGCATTTAATAAATAGGTAAATGTACTATATGCAATAGTGGCAAATATCTGTAGTTCTGGTGTAGGATGAAGGTGAAGGTTTGTTCTCCGAGCTTGTGGGTTGGTTTCCAAATGTTTCATTATCAGCCTAGATAACATCTTCAGTGGAGTTTAGAGGATGTCACTGTCAGTGTCATTCTGAGGGGTTTATAGGCTAGTTGTAGGTCAACATAGGTCATTGACCTACAACCAGCCTACAAACCCCTCAGAATCCAAAGCAATCTCACAGCCAACTAGAGACTGCACCAACTCTCAACCAACCCATGTAAGCCCCCACACCAGCAGTTCACCTCCCAATGGCCTGACCTGGTATAACCTCTCCATCACAAAACCCATCACAAGACTCACTGATGACTCACACCTGACCCATTACAAGACCCATCACAAGACTCTCACTTGACACACCCATATCTGAAGCCTTATAAACAGAAGAATACTGACACTGACATCCCCTAAACTCTCTTGAAGATGTTACCTAACCTGCTAATGAATTGTTCGAAAACTGACCCACAAGCTCAGAGAACGAACCCTCACCCTCAATGCACTGTATGTTGATTGTTTGTAGGTAAGTGTGTATGCTGGTCTCATGTGTTAAAGTTACTATCAAAATTTTTTTCTGAGCCTGGATTTTCAATAGGAGGTCATCTCTGCCCCTTCTTCTGCTTTTTAACAAGAATTGGGTCCAAAACTGTCTGAGACGGTTTCAAAGTAGGCCAGTATTATTAACAACATTCTGCAGAAGTCTCACAGAGAGAATAGGTTGCTTAATCCCTACCAGTTATTATCAACATTGTCTACGTTGTTGCAAATCACATGATGCTAGATTTCATGGCTAATGTGTCCAGAAGTCTGGTTGCCTCATATCAATTGTCTCTTTCCCAAATATATCATTATCAAATAGTACAAAATAATCTCAGAGGACAAACTACCTCCATGCCATCTTTCTGATCAAATTAATTCTAAGTCTTTAGACATGGCTGGTTGAGGTAGTCTGGGAATTGAAGTCCATAGAAGGACTTAAAATAGCCAAGATTGAGAAACATTGTTTTATACTATATGATGAAAATTGGAGTTGTCCCTTCTTCCTTACTCAGGAACAAATTCAGGTATGGTCACTTTGTATTTCTGTAGTCATCTCTGCTTTGCTGTCACAATTCAGCCTTAGGCTTTTTTTATATATATATACCAAGACTGGCTATAACAAATCCAACATCTTTCTGGAGGGTTCAAGGACGATATTTATACTTTTCTGCAAAGAAATGGATTGGTCTCTGGAACTGGTCCTATAGTGGTGTCAACTGCGTATTAATCTTTATTGCAGGAATCCAAGCTGAAGGCTATTGTACAGCAGAAAGCACCAGAAAAATCTGTTATCACATTGATTGCACACATTGTGCCCTTGAAGGACTTAATTGTTTTCTCTTTCCCATGTATTCCTTTTCTGTAAATCAGTAACTAGGCAGATCTCTTTAAAAACACCCTGAGCCTGAAGAATAATATACTTGCAAACCAACCTTTGGCATATTCCTGTAAAAGCAAGTGCAAAGCTTTCACTTGAGAGTTCAATAGAATTTACAACTAGTTTTAGTGAGGGCTTTTCTGAATTTCGTCTTCCCACCTCAGAGATTATAAAAGCCAGAGAAAAACTTCTAGATGCACCTTCTCCTCATGACTTACCTTAAAGAAATTATTCTTAAATATTGACCTCAAGTTTTTCTTTTCCTTTCAATATTCTCTTGGGATCAAGAAACATTCCTGCCTCTGTAAGAGAGGTGAGATGGGCGACAAACAAATTTAATGAATATATAAATAAAAATAAAATGTAAAAGCAAAATGAAATATGAAGCACATTACAATCTATAAACAACATTCAGGAACGTTTGATACAACCCTGCCTAGACGGATACAATTCTTGTTGGTTTCAAACAATAGGTATTCTTTCTCCCTCCTGCAACCACTTTCCTATCTGGTGGCAATTTCCTTACCTGAAAAATTTCAAGTGCAGCTTTTTTGAATTCTCAACCAATAATGAAACTCTTGCATAGTAAGAGATTCTGGGCAAACTCCATTACTTATAATGGGCATGCCTGTTTCAACTTAATGTAATTTACTTGCCGGTAAAAATTCATAAGGCTAGCTTCTCATTGAAACAAGGGCCATATAAGGATGTTGTCATTAACTGTGCAATCCTTTGCCTGTTTGCTAGAAAGAAAGACCTATTTGAGTTTGGACATTATTTTTCTGCGGAAATCATTCATAACTCGGCATCTTCACTTGCTTCCTATGGGATTTCACCAGGACTTCAGTGTGACTGACATCTGCTGCATTGTGCTAAAGTCCACATTACTCCCTTAGGTTTTCCAGTAGTGCATAAAGACAGAGAACTGTGCATCAGACTATGCTCTGTAAGCTTCATTATTTGGAACTGGGAGGCCAGTACTAGCATCTCATTTTCTTTTATGGATTCAAAGGAAGGAGTGAGAAGTGATTAGGCAAAGGGTGGAAAGAAAGAACATGGCAAAGCAAGAAGAAAGCATCTTCAACAATTGTCTTGTTTGTTCTGTTATTCCTTTATTCCATTAGAACTTAGAAACTGGACAGCCATTTGTCTGAAATGGTGTAGGGCAGGGGTTCCCCACCAGGGGTGCTTGCACCCCCTGGGGGTACGAGACAATATTCCAGGGGGTGCAAAAATTATAGTGTATATGCATTATTTGTTGCCATTATTTCAAACTTTTGTAAGGGGTGAGAGAATATATCAGAAGCGTTTTAGGAGTGCAGGGTATAGAAAAAGTTGGGAGCCACTGGTATAAGGTTTCCTGACTGAGCAAGGGGCGGTTGGACTAGAATGACCTCCAAGGTCCCTTCCAACTGTTGTTGTTGTTGTTGTTGTTGTTGTTATCTTCTGATGGTACTAAAATAATCAATTCTAGCATTCATTCCAGCCATTAGAAAATGTTCTCATGTCTTGCTAGGCCATTTAAGATCTCTCTCTCTCTCTCTCTCTCTCTCTCTCTCTCTCTCTCTCTCTCTCTCCCTCCCTCCCTCCCTCCCTCTCTCCTTTTGGATGGTATCTCTTATCTTGGTCATCACTGTCAGAAATGCAGTAGATTGACTTTGTGGAGTTGTATTGTGTTAGGCAATTGTGTTGCTGTTCAAATGCTACTGTCTCAAGACTGTTGATGCACTGGAGCAGAAAGACATACAATTCACTTGGCTCTGGGTTATCAGTGGGGCAAAATGTCAAAGGCAACTTGCTTCCATCAACAAATCTTAGGCCAAGACACTACCTAGCAACAGGGAGGCCATTTTCACATGATACATAAGGCCAGTTTTGTAACTTGTAAAGCAGCAGAAGAAGGAAGAAAAGAAAAGAAAAAGAAAACATAAGGATTGGATATAATGCAGGAAAGGGAGTTAATTCTGAAAAATACAAAAAAACAAAATTATGGAATGCTTCTCCATGGCAATGGCAATGTTGTGGAATAGCCTCTCTTTAAAAATTGGGATGGCCATCTTCTTGTTAATTTTTCTAAAATTTCTGAAAACTGAGCCCTTTGAAAAAGCATTTCTCTTATTTGCCGTTAACATTTTATGGCTTTTCTCTCTCTATTTTAATGGTGTTCTTGTGGCTTTTGCTTAATTATCCTTATGGCTATTGTTTTAACTTATGATTGACTGGTTGATAGATTGTACCACAGAAGTTTTAACTGCAACATTTACTCTATGTAAGTTTCAGAGAGGGTTTTTTTTTCAGTTCATTGCAGCAGAGTAGAAATATGTTAACTAAATATATACATATTTGTATTCCTATTAATTACTTCATATTTATATTTCTTAATACTTTTTGTTCAAGCTATCCATTGCTTTCTTTAGGAAATCTTAAACATTTCAATATTTAGATCCAGCTGGAGTAGTTCCTATTTCTGCAAATTGCTCCCACTTGGCATGTTTGTGGGGAGGGGGAAGTGTGGGTATAAAGTCTAACTTGTTTAAATAGATTGGTGGTTGAACTCATGGCTTGTGTGTGATGTAGTCCTCTTGCAATGGGACCTAACTTCTTGCATTTGCCACCCCTCCCCCTTTTCACAGCACCTGGCCAATCTTATCTAGGTCTGAAAGCTAAGCGAGGCCAGGCCAGGTCAGTCCTTGGATAGGAAATTGCCAGAATATCCTAGGACTCCCTCCCAGAAGGCAAACCCTCAAACTGTAACTCTGCCAAGACAATCACATGCGCGTGACCACTAAGTCATCAAGGATTATGCTGAGCTTGAAAACTCTGCCTTTAGTCTTGAGAAGAGAACCATCTTTGTAAAAGTTTGCAATACACCTTCCCTAGCTTTCTGATGGAAAACTAAATGAGGATTTCATGGTTTTGTCAGCTGATTGTTTCTCTTGCCTGTTTTTCCTTTTACTTTGTTTTTCAGATGACTCAGAATTTGGAAGCTTGAATGTTCTCTTGTGAATTTTGCATTGGCCTAATAAAAGTATAATATAGATCCTGTGTTCTTAAATTGAGGATACTGGTTTACTACAATTATCAGGGCAAACAATTAAGAACAAAATCCATGATTCAGTTAGAACTTTTTCTTTTTTCTGCAGACCCTAATTTCAAGAAATTTTCTTTGTGAACCAATCCTCTGGTCTGGATACAATCCCTGGCATGTTCAATGAAAAATGTATGCCTAGTGCTATTAGTGGTAGCATCAGGTGTTGTCACTGTTACTTTGAGCTTTGCTGGAACCTTCCTTTCTCCATTTTGCCCATGTGAAGATTGGCAGCATCTAAAACCATAACCACAGCCACACACATACAAGCCTCTATTGTGCACATGCTAGCCTTGCATTATGTGAAGTTTGACCCTCATTAAACACAACCAGGTATCAATTTATAATCAGTACTTCATTGAATATTACATTATTCAAATTCACATCAATCACAATCATTTGCATTCCTCAGAGACAGTTTTTCCTTATAGATCAGCATTTTGGTCTTCCATTCTAACACTACTTTAAGAAATTCTTAGGTCGTACCTAAGAACTGTATGCAACATGGGAAAACCACACAAGAGTTCACATTAATATGATCCTCTACAATGTAATTATTGTATATATTGGGAGGGGAGGATATACAGTAGTAAGGACATTAGTTCTACCTTCCCTACCTCCTCTCATTCTGTGTATAATGGGTAGAGTTTACCACTGATGAGGCTTTCTGGTCAATTTGGAAGTAAACGGTTTTTATTTAGCACCTTTTAGATGTAGCTGAATTGCAACTCATCTGGGCCAATAACCCTGGGGATGATGAAAGCTGCCATTCAACAATATGAGCTGACAGATGGCAGGTCAGTGAAAACTGGCATCGCTAATGTTTCTGGATGAGGGCTTATGAGATATGGTCATCTTGAGCTGCACGTGCCAATGCCTCTTTTATCAAGCAGAATGTGCCAACACCTTATGTGTTGCATAGTCCCCAGTGGAAAACTCAAGTGTTGACATAAAGGAAAGCTCAGGAGCTTTGCTTTTTCTACGTAAACAAGTTGGAACTTCAGGCTCTATCAGCATCATTGTTTCATACCAAGAAATCCAGCACTGACCTCAGCATACCAGACTCCTCATACTTGTCTCTCAGACAAATGACTCTTGGAAAAACAACTACTGTAGGAGGCGGGGTGGGTGGGTGGGTGGGAAAGCTGTACAGTCCTAGTGAATAGGAGATCTAACACAAAGATAATCTCTGAATAATTTACTATTAGAACAACCTTTCCCATCTGATGTGTTTTATGTGTGTTGGACTAAAGATTTCATGGGCTAAAAATTTCATGTTCATTAGGACAGCTGGGGGGAATTATTTATTCATTATTACACCTTTATTAATTTTTATAAATAACTTAAGGTATTTGGGGCTGAGAGAGAGAGTGAGTAGCCCAAATATATATAGGAGATATAATGTGAAATAAAATAAGGTGATCACTAGGATGAAATCATAAACACAAATGTTTAATCTACAAAACCAAGCTTTCGTTGGCCATACAACTGACATTGTCAGGGTATAAAATGCTGGATCCGGGAGTTTGATTTTATGTGGCTGGCTGGCTCTGCACTTTATCCTTAATTTGGCCATTGAATTCTAGGCATTCAAAATACACCAAACTATAAACTTACCAAGCAAGCTAGAAGTGCATAAGTAAAAAAAAACCAATAAAATTAAAACCAAAGCTTTGACTAGTGTGCAAATGTAGTTACTGACCCTTTAACTGGCATGGTGAATTGTGAGGGTGAAGGTTCATTCTCCCAGCTTGTGGGTTGGTTTCCAAATATTTCCTTACCAGGATAAGTAACATCTTCAGCAGATTTATAAGGGCTTCAGGTGTGGGTGTGTCAAGTGAGGGTCTTGTGGTGGGGAGGTTATATCAGGTCAGGGTCATTGGGAGGTGAACAGCTGGTGGGAGAAGAAGGGGGGCTTGTGTGGGTTGGTTGAGAGTCGGTGCTATCTCTGGTTGGCTGTGCAGTTGATTTTGATTCTGAGGGGTTCAGAGGCTTGTTATATGTCAATGTGTTTGTTGATAGTGAATTGTGTGATTCCCCTCCCCCAGCCAAAAACAGGTAGAGGAATTATCATAAAAGGACAAGAGGAACTGCCCACTCCCCTTATTACTCAGAGTAGACCATGTTGATTTGAGGACTCATTATGAATTAAAATTAAAAGTAGAATCATCTTCAGAGCACTCGTGTAGCCTCCTTAGAGGCTAATATCCTAAT